TCCTGCTGGGTGTGCTGCTGCCAGGGGCTGGTTGGTGCCACAATTCCCTTGCATGCTTTGCAAAGGTGGAGAATTTGGATGTTTGCTGAATCAGGCCTCACACTGGGCAATCCTGCTGGATTGCTCGGGGTCCAAGGGTTGTCACTGCTACCCCAGGGACTTCCAAATTTTGGCAAATCTACTTCACAACTCAGGAGCTCCAGCAAAGCCTTAATATCCTGTTACTTTTCAGAAGTCTTGGTTCCAACAACACTTCAGCTCTCTGAACTCATTAACTTGAGCTAATTGACTTTCTCAATTAACTGGCTGATGCTTTATCCTGGGGTCTGATTCTGTTTTCCTCTCTTGGTTCATGATCTCCTACCCACGCTCACAGTGAGGGGTGGTTGGGTGTTCAGACCTCAGTCCAAGTTCATGATGATAGGGGATGGAAATTGTTATATTGCTCCTGCAGACTTCAGGCTCCTCCTCTCAGCTTTCCACCTGCCCTCTGACTTATTATTTATTTTTTTATAAATGCAACTTGTTTGCAGGCCCCAGAGTGGAATTCAGACACTCCAACTCCTGTGTGTATTTTCTTTGCTATGAACCAAGCAAAGTTTCTGCTACTGAAGCTGAAGAAGCTGTTATTTCTGGTGAGGCCTGACTCAAAGCTCTTGGTGAGAGCTTGGCAGAGTGAGCCCATGGGACAACCTGCAGGTTCCACTTGACCCTCTCTTGAGCAGTGGGATCTCCAGAGCTATCTTAGAACCTCAACAGTTTTCTGCTGCTGTGTTAAGAAGCTTGCAGGGAAAAGGGGAGATACAGGGCAGGGACTTTTGCAGAGGGTCCTGCAGAAACAGAGTCTGAAGTTGCACTTTGAGCCTGGGGGCTCTGGTGTCCAAACCTGAAGAGGAAAGAGCAGCCTCTGAGCAGCCTGTGAGCCTCTGGTTTCCAGAAGAAGCTCTGCCCTGGGGAGCCTGGAAAACAGGGAAACAAGGCCACAGTCTTCACAGCTTCTCCTGAGCTGCCTCACCCTGCAATTGAGAAGGGCTAAGATTGTTTGCTGTGGCCTGGAATGAAAGGAACTTTATAAGGTTTGGTTGTGTGAGACATCATCTCTGTCCTGGACAAAGCTCAAGGAGGTAGGAGCTGTTCTGTAATGAACTGCTAGACATGTGTTGAAACTTGGGCTGTCACAATCTCTTTTTAATTTTTGAGTAGTTTCTGATTACTGAGATCATATATTTTTGGTTATGATGTTCTGCATGGAGGGAATCACAATTATCTGCTGTATGTTCAGAGGATAATTCATCTTGTACTTTGACTTATTATTCATTATCTACTTCTGCTTGGTCTTGATTTTTAACTATGTGAAAATAGGGCTGATGAGCAAGCAGCTTTGCTGCAATGTGAGGAGAAATTGCCTTTAAAGAGCCTCTAGGAGTTCAGCTGCTAAACAGTCTAGATGTCTTTGAAACCAAACTTCTCCTTTTTGTAGATCAAAGAAGTCCTTGAGAACCCTCATTTATTGACAGTTATCAAAATAGAAGAAGCTGGAGATGAAATTGTGAGCAATGCCATTTCTTTTGCTCTGTACAAAGGCAAGTAATTGTTTTTCTGTTTTGGTTTTGTTGTTTGTGTTGGGGTTTTTTCACAGAGAGAGAAAAATAAGGCTATTTTCTAGAACAACCTTCCCTAGAGCTGTGCTATCTCTCTAGAGTTAAGCTCCTGCCACAGCTTGCCTTCATCTGGAGTGGTGTGGACAGCCTGCAGCAGCATGGTGGGCTCTGTTAGTGTGGCTGAGACCAAACCCCAGTGCAGACACACTCAGGAAGGCACTTGGCAGAGCTTTGGAGATGCTGGGATAGTGTCTCAGAGAACAGGACACGTGTAGACAACACCACAGGGAGTCACAAAGCCACACAAAGGATCTCTAATGGTTGTACTGCAGAGCTGGGCTACTCAGCAGCCTGAAATGTAAAATCAAGTATCTTTGGGATATGTGGACTGGGGAGGTTCGACTGGCAGGGAGAGAAGTATCCAGGTGTTGAACAGTCAGTGTGCAGTGACTGGCTGCTGTGAGCAATTCAGACCTGGGGTCTCTGCTACTCTGGCAGAGCAGAACTGGTACTTGGTGAGGGTTGCTGGGGTGACCTCAGTTTCCCCTTGGTGTGTGGAGAAAGTCTGAGAGTGTTACAGCTTCTCATGACACTTCTTTGTGTAGGGTCCTGTTGGGAATTCTGCAGGATTCCTTTCGT